AGTCCGGGGCTAAAGAGCAGAGAACTCCCCGAGCTGGCCGGCAACCCAGCGGCCTGTGGTTGCTTGGGATGAAGGGGGGGGGGGGGGTGGAGATGGTCCTACCGACCTCGCCATCAACAACAGGAGCCTCCGGCGGGCGGGGGCCGGCGCGGTCGGCGCCGGCGCATTGTCCGTTGCCAGTCGTGCGAGGCGCGCAGGCCAGGGGGCGGGGCGGGGACGCGGTGGGAGGTGTGGGCACAGCTGGCGTATGGGCCTGCTCGGTGGCGGGTACGCGTCGACGGCAGCCCGGTCACGTCCGCGTCGACTAAGGCGACGAAGCTCCGAATAAACCACGCACCACAGAAGGCCCGATAGAGCGTTCGCGAACTTGAACCGCTTTGTAAAATTTGTAAACACGTGCAAGGGTGCGAGGTCGCAGTACGAAATCTACTTAAATGTACCGTCGTTTCATAAGTAATTAAGTGCATTTGGCAGGTAATTCTTAAGTTACTTCTGCCATTCGTTTCGATAAAGGCATGTTGTCGAAATGTCAGCGCGCCTATATCTCCATTCTCCTGGTTTTTCTCCGAGGAAGGAGGCTATTGCTCTTGTCTTATCTATGTAACACCGTTGCATATTAAAGACGCCGTTTAACCCATAAAATGTCAGTACGTGCCAAAACTGCGCCATTTTTTCGCCTTCAGCATGAAGCGCCACAACTTGATCACTGCTTGCGTTTAAATGTGTGGTGACGCGCATGGCTAGGATGGAGAGCAGGCGCTCCTGGCTATCCACCCACGGCTGGCGGCGAGGGACAAACATTTCAGCCGCCACCAGCTGACGCACCTTGGAGCTCCAACTCGCAAACACCCCAGCGGCAAGGACGGTCGGGGTGCGTGCGGTGGCCGGCGGACAAAGCTTGGTCTCGGCGGGGCGCTCTATCAGCCCGCTGCCAGCCGGAGACTGCAACGCCGCTCCCCACCGGGACGGCTAGCACCGGAGCGGTGACGGGGCAGCGGCTAGCCTTTTGTCGGCGGCCGGAAGCGGCCGGGCGGGCCGAGAGGGACATCCATCACCAGCTGGGGCGGCGGGTCGACCAGGTCCTGTCGATGCTGGCCGGTTCAGCCCGCGGCGTCTGGGCCGGACAGCGGCGCAGGTGAAGGAAGACCGACAGCCGGACGGGCGGACCGTACAGCCGGACAGCCGGACCGGACAGCCGGACAGCGCCACAGCTGAAGCCCAGCCGTTTCTGGACCGGGAGCGGCTGGGGCCGGTCCGCATGGGTGCGGGACACGGAAATCACTGCGGGTCGAGGCTGTAACGCCCCACGGTCAAGCTCAATTGACTTGCATGTCATTTTGGATGGCCTCCACCACGGCCATCAACCGGCGCCAATTATCCCCTAATGGAGATCAGTCCCTGGTGACCATATCGCAACAAAGACTGGATACTTCACACATATGTTGAACATCCAAAGAAGCTCACTTCATCACGGTGTAAGGTATGTTTGGTTAGTGGGCGGACGGCAGGGTGTCGTGAAGACATCGCAGCATAGTTATTAGCCGGCTGACGTATATATTGCGACTTGGCGGCACTGTGTTAAAGTGCCCCTTTACGGCAGGCCCTTTTGCGAGCCTCCCACCATAAATTCAGGCCGAGGACATGCAAACATAAAATATTTCTCAACTCTGCCGAGCCTTGGTTGGGCCGTCCTTAGGAGGGGTGGATGTCATCGCGGCGCTGTATACGGTACAATGGCCCGTTGCGAGGTTGCAGACGGCGGTGTCACAGGATGGGGAGCAGGCGTGGAGAGCGGGAGGGGGAGGAGGCCCAGTCTGTCGTGTCACCTCACGTCCGGTCCCGGCTTCAGGCTGAGGCGCTGTCCCCAATCACGGCGTGCCGGAAGCAGGGCCAGATTCGAGCCGTGGCGCGGTGACTGACTCACGATACCACGCCCGGAGACGCGCTGAGTGAGCGATGCCCGTCGCCCGGCGAGCTCACCAGCACGGACCGAAGGCTCGGGAGGGCCCTAGATCGCTCCCGCTCCACAGCCGACCCGGCGCGCTCACCAGCACGGACCGAAGGCTCGGGAGGGCCCGAGATCGCTCCCGCTCCACAGCCGACCCGGCACGCTCACCAGCACGGACCGAAGGCCCGGGAAGGCCCGTCCGAGATCGCTCCCGCTCCAAAGTCGAGCGGCTTATTTGCATGCAAGGTGCCTGTCACTAAGCGAGGAAGCCATCGTGACAGGGCTGAGATGATGGCCTCGTCTGTAGAATGGGGCCACACTCGTGACCTCGCCTGTGGAGCATTTGCTATCGTGTTATATTAGATTTTATTTCATGACAGGCAATGCTGCTATGGTAATTGCCGTCATGATTGTAGCTGTAGACACTGGGACGCGGCTGTTGGTGAGTGGAAGTTTGGCTGGCGTCCTAAGCTGCACTTGACAAGGCTAGCGTTTTCTTTTCTGTCTTCTGAGGGAAACGCCTCGGTCACCAGTCACCATTATAACATTGCTGGAAAATTGTATCCAAATAAGGCACATATTTGGGTAATTAGTTTGTACGCTGGCAAGAAAATGCCGTGACTAAAATGAAGTGAGGAACCCAACAAAGCCGAGAGACGCAAAAAGATATTTACGGCGATAAAGCCCACACCGCTGTCTCTCTCCCTCCGCCTACGCAGTCCTCCGGCGTGTTCATTCGCATTCACGTCAGACGAACAATCTGCCCTGTAATATATTGGCGGTCTGCATTTGATATGTGCATCGACGGAGGTTATCGCATAGAGCTGACGTCGAGCAAGTAGAGACGCTTTTATTATGCTGTCAAGGAACGACTTTGATTGAGATATCTTTGGATGGCATGTGTTTGTCCTGAGTCCCAGGCGCGCACGGTCGTGATCGTTCAGAAACTGACGCCAGCTACGTCACTCACTCTCCCGCTCATTCCGAATTACCGGCAGACATTATCGGTGTTGCAAGTGGCGTGTGCTAAACGGGAGCCCGCATCGGACGTCCAGCCAATTATCCTGAAGTGCTGCTGAGGCCTGTCTGATGCCCCGATAGCAAGCAGGCAGTGCTAGTGGGCTGTCCTTAGGGCGGGCGGGCCTCATCGTGGCTTCAGAGGACCGCGGCGCGGGGCTGCTGATGTATATATATATATATATATATATATATATATATATATATATATATATATATGCATATGTATATATGCATGTTTGCGGGTGGCGACAAGCGTGATGGCAAGCGTTTTGTGACGCGGCTCGAAACCTTCGGCGATCACTGACGACGTCGATGCTGCGGACAACCGCGTCGACTCTTGCGCCCCACAAGGGCGTCTCGTTGGGAGCGCGAGCGGCGACGGCGGCGCAGGCTCGGCAAGCAGCGCGACCACGCACGCGCCCAGGCCGTAACGGCAGCGCCAAACATGGCGGCGGCGGCGCATCAAAGCGGCTGTGTCCGCGCGCGCTAACGTGCCGTGGGGCGCCATCGTCGTCGTGTGATGTTGCCGCCGGGTCGGCCGGTCGCCGGCACGTGCAGGCAGCGCCGCCGGCGTCCCCCGTCTGGGCATACCCCGCCAAAGGCGCACGACGCCCCTTAGAAGTGAGGCGTGGAGGCCGCTGATCGAGAGCGTGCCGTCGGGAGCGCTTTGTAGCGCCCGCCGACACTCACGGCGGTGTGGTAACTTGTTCGAGGTGCTTGAAGAATCTGTGCCGCCCATGTCGGGACGCAGGGGTTCATCAGTATGCAGGGGGTGTTGGCCCAGCGAAGGTCGCTGTCTTCTGATTGCCACGGTCCTGTTCGATACGTTTTGCACGGTTTAATGCATGTCAAGAAGGTATGCATCGGCAAATATATAGGTTATGTCAGGGCCGCAAGAGCCCACAAAGGACTGGTGCCATACTGGCGATGGCCTCCCTGATTTGAGTGCGTGCATAAATGCAGCCATAGTGTCTTGGCGGTATGGTTCGGTGACGTAAGAGTAACCAGTCTGGCAGTGGTTTTACATCGTGGCTTCACTTCCAGTCTGATATGTTTAGCGAACAAAAATGGTCGCTGATCGCAATGACTTGTCCTAAGGGCTGGCGCGTGTTTTGAACAGCTTGGTCCACCTGATGCCTTCCATCGCCAGTTAAGTCGCCCGTACAATAAGTACCAACGTCGATTATGGGGAGGAGAATGCAGTATGGAAGCTGGTTGTACAATTTTATGACCATTGATATCCTCATAGATAACTGTCACGTTGGTGACTACCAGTCACATAAGCTGTGCAAAACCCACATGAAAAATCGAGGGCCCATGATGGTGCAGGCCCAGCAACAATGGCATCGGATGCCTTTATTCGTGCTGACAGCCGAATGGGGAGTCTGGTTTTGTACTGGACCGTCGCGCGACGAGGTTGGCATAGTGCCAACGCACGTGGGGACATCAAAAATTTGTACCGCTAACTTTGGGTTGCACTGGTTGCAGCCGTCTGAAGTAACGGCCGTTACCAACAAACGCCGTGGCCGACGGCGAGCATTATCCTTTCAGTCGTAATCATGCCATTGGCGTTGCTCAGATCGGCGCCTTGTGGTCCACTGACGGATCGTCAGCCTGGATTGGCGGGACACCAATCTGGGCTAATACCTGGCGGTCTGACCCCGGAGTGGAGACCCTGTGACGTCAAGTCCGTCTGTAACAAGCGATATCGCCCCAGTAGTCACTGACCCCGGGGTAGGCGAGTTCTCTGGCGGGTTGATGGGGGTCAGACTGGATTTTGCATTGCTTTTTTACGTGTACCGTCGTAGGGTAGATGCAGTCTTTCATAGATGATAGCAGTATAATCCTTGCTCTTGTCCCCCCCCCCCCCCCTTTCCCTCCCTCGGCCCTGCACTGAGCCCTGACCTCGACTGGCGGCGGCACTTGTGCTCGTGGAGGTGTAGCCCTCACAGGATCTAAACCAGGCGGTCGGCCCTGGCTGACTGGTCTGACCCGACTGACGCGCGCCCTGACCCCTGACCCCTGCCGGCAGGAACTTCTGTCCGGTCACCGTGCAGCGTCAGGTCACGTGTCGCGTGAAGAACGGCACCGAGGAGTACGACGGCACGGACTACTCGAAATGCTATCGTACTGGCAACTGGAATGACTGTCGGCACACTGTGTTAGTACTTCACACCCGCTGACTCCTTCCTTGCCCCTTTTGTGTCAGTAAACATCTGTTTTGTTGTTCCACATTTTCTTGGTGGCGCAATGCAGCATTTTCAAGTGGGAATGCACAATTTAGTTGATTTCGATGAAGATGTTTGGTTTAAGAAGTATTTTGCTGTTGAAAGCTGGCTTATAGAAAACGTTAATCTCGTTTGCGATGGCATGTAGCTTCGGTGCACATCACATGCCCGTTTGAATTATTTCCGTTAAGGAAAACCGGTTTTTTAACTGCCGATCATGCTGGACTGGCGAATATAAAGCTGACACCGTCAAATGAAAAATGGCTATTTTATGTCCTGAACAAATTAGGATTTAGTCCGAAAAAATGCCATGCGGTAGTCACTTCGAATCTCTGGTCCACCACATTGCCGTTACGTGACCAGCTTGCACACGAGCCGTCTAGCTGCGTTGACAAAGACAAGCCTCATTCCATCACCGAAGCTAAAAAATCCTTACTCAAAAACTGTTATGGGCACGTTAATTGTTTGCAACAATTGCAACAGTGCATGTTTGCATTGCGAGTGCGAGTGCGTGCCGCACGAGGTGGCGGCCACCCTGACGTCTGAGGTGGCTGTTGCAGGAGGCGGCGCCGGCCGAAGTACGTCACCTCATTCAAGATGGTGAATCGGGTCCAGTACCGCTGCTGGTCCGGGCTTTGAAGGGGAGCACTGCACCGAAGGTGAGATGGTGCAATGCGCTGGTGCGGCTGTCAGTAACATACATGCCCCGTTCGGTTGGTTCACTGGTGGTGATATAAGGGTGGCTTGGCCCTTCTTTGCGGGCTATGCACCAATGATCGTTCACAAAATGTGATTGCAGCGCTGAGAAGTACACTGTCCACTGTCGATCTCACTACACTCTACTCATTCACACAAGTGTTTTAACTGCGCGCTTGTGCTGATCAGTACCTTTAAATCTCCCTCGGATCGAAAAGAACGGGAGTGAAACTAAACTTGTCAAATTGTAATGAGTGCGTAATGAGCACGGTTATCACGTAAATAATGGGCCCTATCGGAGCGCACTCGTCCAAAAATCACCCTCTGGAAGTCGAAGTACAGCCTGCTGTCAGTGCGCATGCTAGTAGAGGAAACTCATGAAGACTCTTTCTCTCCCAACCTCTAATCGCGCGGCAGTCATAATTCTGGTTCATCGGTATCACAAAGGGTTGGCACTGGCCACGTTCGAATAGAACGTGCGCACGATGAGCGCTCTCTTTAATCCAGCTCGCTGAATGTGGCTGACGCATGAAGCCCACCGTAAACATGTGAAACCAAGGTCATAACCATCAGGGATGTACTAGTGAGGGATCCTGACTCTTTTCGATGTCCACAGCCTGCTTCACCTGCAACGACTTCACCCACGTCCTCAGTCGCGTGACCACGCTGGAGACTTTCGTCGGCATGAGGACGCCGTCCGGTATTCCCGAACCTGGATACACCTCACGTACGTACGCATATCTGAGCCCAGATACGCCCACAGTATGTACGCATATCTGAACCAGGATACGTCCTGTGTACGCACAAATATGTGAGCTCGATTAGGTCAACATCTGTCTGCAGGCGTAGTTTTTCATGAGCGCACGTAAAGCCGTTCCAAAATGGCAGACATATGTTCGCGTGTGACGAAGGCCCTGCTTTGAATTTTAGGGAGCGCCGACCTCATGGTCATATGGCATCTATTATGTTCGCCTACAGAGGTGGCCGAGTATATTTGTGACATGTACGCACGTATCTAGACCCGAGTATACACATAAGCATGTTCGTACGGCGATGATGTGCGTAGGACACAGGACGTGCATCTCACATGAACGTCACGCAACTTCGTAATTGCGTCATATTTCGGTGATATTTGCGTATAGCTTTTGTTACATGCCACATTGCTTCACATGCGCACGTCGTAACGTAATGGCCACAGCAGGGCATGATGATATTGCACGAGGTATCAGGGCAGGCTGTGCACAGCCAAACGGACTCCGGCTGCGCACGCGCAGACGCATGACAAACGGGGCCCAGCCAAACGGCCGCGTTTGTCTGAGGTAATGCGTGCAGCAGTATTTCGGCCGTCCTTTCGGCCGTCCGCGCTGTCCTTTCACGGCATTGCAGCATCGTGACTCACTTACATCCCACGATCTACCGCTTTGCCGGCGAGTACCTGCGCCGCCCATGGTCTGACTGACGTGTCAGCTGTGATCCATGGTGCCGAGTACTTCTGGCTCGCTCGGGTGGCCACCTGTCGGCAGCAGCGGTGCCAGTGAGACCTGACACTTATCGACAGCAGCGGTGCCAGTGAGACCTGACCTGCCACCTATCGACAGCAGCGGTGCTAGTGAGACCTGACCTGCCACCTATCGACAGCAGTGGTGCTAGTGAGACCTAACCTGCCACCTATCCACAGCAGAGGCACTAGGAAGGCCTGGCTTGCCGCCTGTCGACAGTAGCAGTGCTAGTGAGGCTTGACCTGCCACCTATCGACAGCAGTGGTGCTGGTGAAACCTAACCTGCCACCTATCGACAGCAGCGGTGCTGGTGAGACCTGACCTGCCACCTATCGACAGCGGCGGTGATAGTGAGACCTGACCCGGCACCTATCGACAGTAGTGGTGCTAGTGAGACCTAACCTGCCACCCGTCGACAGCAGCGGTGCTAGTGAGACCTGACACTTATCTACAGCAGCGGTGCTAGGGAGACCTGACCTGACCTGACACCTATTGACAACAGCGGTGTTAATGAGACCTGACCTGCCACCTATCGACAGCGGCGGTGCTAGTGAGACCTGACCTGACACCTATCGACAGCAGCGGTGCTAGTGAGGGCTGACCTGCCGGCGGCGCGAGCACTGACCCGCTCCCTGCCGGCAGCGGCGCGGGGAGACATCCCGGCGGAGGAGGATGACCGGCAAACGAACCGGCTGCCGCCGGCCTGCGACTGCCCGCCAGGGCCGCAGGGGCCGCCGGGACCGCCGGGACCGCCCGGCCGGGTGGCCTCGGCGCGGTCCGACGGTCCGGGTCTGCCCGGTGTGCCCGGCATGCCAGGGAGGGACGGGCTCCCGGGAGAGCCAGGTCGGTCGGGCCCAGAGGGTCCGCCGGGCTTGCCAGGTCTGCCAGGGCCCGCTGGACCGCCAGGACCCGCCGGACCGTCAGGTGAGATCTACGTTATGAAAGGATGGACGTCCCAAAATGAAACCCCCCGTTTAAAGTAATTTGTGTCCATGCAAAACACATCCTTGTCATGCATCACCAAGGGGAGTGTTAAAATAGATGCGCACTTTTGAGGGTGACCAGAGAAGGTCTAAATTTTAAATCAAACCAAGCGTGCTGCTTATTTAACAGTGGTGGCAATAGCGTTTTGGATTGTAAAAGATGGGTCCCAGTCCTTCACCTCTGCAACATTGCAACCAGTTACGTTTACGTTGGGTCTTCGTGTCCATCGCACGTAGCACCCCTCACCGCTGTATAATCTCATCGCTAATGACGTCATAAAGGAGATACATCCAAACGAAACATATCCCAAACCAATTGCCGTAAAGCTCATGCCCTGGTTTTAGAATAAGCTGTCGCTGTTCTTCAACGCTCTACAATCTGGCTATCTCCGTTCAGAGCCAAGCATATGAGTGAAACGTTCCCCTTAACCCCTGCGAAGGGTGGCGGACAGCGTGTCTCTTCCACGGTTTGTAAATGTCTGGTAGTGCGTCGTCTGCCACATATCCCAGGTCACACGCGAGTGGGCAGCTCTGGAGGGCTGGGCATGCACGGTTCGGCGCTAGCTTCCACAGGAGAGCGCCGCTTACGATGCTAAAGTGCAATGACTAGAGCGCCGTGCCTTGTCGCTATTGTCACTGCGATTGTCATGCAGCCTTGATGGTTTTGAAAAAATCAGCCAGTGTATTTGGGTGCTGGACGGGGCCTGTGCACGATTAACGACTGTCGAGCTAAA